GACCATCCACATCCCCCTGCTCTGCGGGGACCTGGGGGCTCCTCAGGCTTTCCGGGGAGCCTCAGCAAGGGGAAAAAACAGGAGGAGGAGACAGGCAAAAGCTGGGCTGGGTGGTCTGACCCCTGGCATCCCAATTCCCAGTCTTGCAGCCTTGTGGGAGATCTCGGGAGGAGGTCACTAATGTTTGACTTCCCTCCCCGTGCCTGGGCAGAGAGAAGCCACACGAGGGTGCGGGTGGAGGACACGGACGGCAGGACCTACGCCATCATCTTCGCCTCCAGAGTGAAGGACGGGAGGACCCAGCACATGCTGAGGCTCTACAGTGCGTACCCAGCAGCAGCCTGAGCGGGGTCAACACCTCCCAGGTGTCCCAGGGGCCAGGAGTCAGGGGGGGCCCGTGGGAGAGCCCCCCTTCCCTGCTGAGCCCTGCCCGGGGCCGGGGCTGCGGCGTGTTCCCAGGGTGGGGCGGTGCTTTGGGGCTGGCAGGGGAGCCTGGGGCTCCAGCTTCTGCACTGTGCTGGGAGACCATGGCCTTGGGTAAGCCACCTGGTGGAATGGGGGAAGGAGAAGGGGTCCTGCTGTGAAACAGTGGGGATGGGAACCACGGGAACACTGCTGGTGCCACCACATCTGCTTCGTCCTGTCCCCTGGGAGCGGTGCCTCATGCCTGGCCACCACTGCTCCCGCTCTGCAGGACCTCCACCACTGCTTCCAGCTGCCCCACAGGGACCATCATCCATCCCATCCTCTCCTGGGCACCCTCGCCAGCTGCCCAGGAGGTGGAGGGACAGGCCACAGCCTGCAGCTAACTCATCTCTTTGCCTTCAGGCAGAACTCAGGAGGTGAGCCCCGGAGTCATAGCGCTGTTCAAGAAGCTTGCGAGGGAGAAGAGCTTCACTGATGAGATGATCAAGGTGCTGCCCAGCCAGGGTGAGCGTTGCCCAGCACCCTGTTGGGCTGGATTGGTCAATCTGGGGAGCCAGGAGCCAGCAGGGACCAGCTGGGGCCATCGCTGCCACCACGTTGTGGTCGTAGCTGGCAGGAGGAGGAGCTGGTAGCAAGAGGCACTCTGGCTTGGCACACTGCAGCTTTCACCTGGCTCAAGTTCATTGCTGGGTTGTCTATTTTGGGTGCTGTATGGGGCTGGCCAGACCACAGTCCTGAACTCAGCCTCTCTCCCTCTCTTTTCACAGAGGAATGCAGCCTGGACAAAGCCTAGGTGAGCTCCTGGGGTGCAACACAGTGTTTGCAATGCCCTCAGCTGGAAATTCCCCCCACCTTGGTGCCCCAGCAAGGGCCACTGTGAACTCTTCGAACTGCTCTGGGGGCTGAGCTGTTTGACCCTGGGAGCTCACACCCGGGTAGGACTGTTCCCTCTGCAGCAAGGAACCCCCGGGTGCAGCTCCTGAGCAAGGGGGCTGAGAACATCAGCTCAGCAGAGGATGAGCTGCAGATCTCATCAGCAGTGAGGGCTGGGACGCTGGCTCTTGCCAGAGGGACCTTGGGGTCACAAAACCAGCCAGAGGTTGGGCTGGTGTCTCGCCATGCAAAACATGTTTGTTGCTGGCCCACCCTGACATGTGATTTCCCACCCCAGCAATACACATCCAGTTGTAGGGGTGAGCTAGAAAAACATTGCTGGAGGTGGCTCACCCTACAAAGCTGGGGAGAACTCCCAGAGAAAGCACTGAGCCTGATGGAGAGCCCTGCTTGGCATCCTCACCCCAAACACTCACCCCACCTCTCCTGGCTGTTTTCTAGGAGGTGCAGGCTGGCTGGTGATGCTCCTGCTGAGCAGTGGGGTGCTGGCCCATGCTCTGAAGCTCCAGGCTGCTGCTCTGCCATCCCTCTTCCAAGCTCATTGCTCAAGGCTCTGACACGTCTCCTGCTTCTCCAGCATGCAGTCCCCTCTTTTTGCCAAATAAACAGAAATTCACCCTGGAATTTGGTGTAGCTGTGTGGGGAGAACCTGGGGTGCTTGGGCTTGTAGACAATTCTGTTGTCCTCCCAGTGTCTGTAGATGGTGACTAGCCAGAGGAGATGCTGGGCTGAGCTCACCTAAGTGAGGGCATTTTTGGAGCCCTCCAGGGTTTTCCCTCCTGAGTGCCTCCCACGGGGCAGGGGCACGGCCAGGAGGATGTGGGGCAAGGGCTGCACTGGGGCTGGAAATGCCATGGGCACAGGGGTCCGGCCTGAGGAAGACTCTTGGGTTTGGCCAGGGAAGCTGAGGTTGGAGTTTGGAGGGCTGCAACCACTGCCACCACCCAACCCATCTTCCCTCTGCGTGCCCTGCTGCAGCCCTCTGCTCCCCTGGAGCCCTGCTCATCCAGCAGCTCAGGGACAGCACTCAGCTTTGGGGCCTCCCAGCCCCATGGTGCTGCAGGGAAGGGGGAGAGGGGAAGTGGAGGAGGGGAAGGAGGGTGTCTGAATCCTCTGGATGCAAACCCAGGGAGCCTGTGCAGGGCTGACTGTGGTGCCTGCCTCAGGGCACTGCACAGAGCAAGTCCCCACTGGAGTCAGATTGTCGGGTGGTGATGGACATTTGCCTCCACAGACTGTCTTCCTTTGCATTTCTGTTCCTGAAATCCCACTCCATCCTTCCCTCCCTGCACCGTTCAGCTCCTCAACCTGTCCAGGGAAATCCCTGTCCCTGGGGAAGCCCTGCCACCCCGTGCTTGCTCATCTCCAGGGCTTGGCCAGTGCTCACAGACACTGAGATCTAGTAGGGTAGGAAGCACCTTGTGCCTCTCCTGGAAAATGAAGTTCCTCCAAAATCCCCTCCTGGTGGCATTTCCACCCTGCCCATCCCTGGGCAGTCACCTGGGCATTGGTTTCTGCCCAGGATCTGCCTCGTTGCTGTGTGGTGATAGCAGGTACCCCTGGAAGTTATCCCAGCAGCTGAGCACCTCAGGATGTTCCCAGATGCTCCTTCTGCCTTCCACAGACAGGAAAAGACATTTGGGAAACTCTCTCCTGACCTTGAGGATCACAAGAGCTGGATGTGTCCCAGCAGCAGCAGGTCAAGGAACCTCACCAGGACTTCCCAACCCGGCGTCATCTCCACCCTCTCTGGAAGAAGCCCAGCGTTCCCAGCAGGGATTCTCTCCCTGGCAGTTTGCACTGGAACAGCTCAGCGTTTGCCAGGCTCCCAGCAGAGCAGGGCTCTCACACAGCTTTGCCTCGAGGCATGTTTTCCGTACGTGTAGTGATGCAGATGGAAACATCCTGCTGCCAGCAACGCCCTTCGCCAAGGGCTCGTGTGCCAGGGACTCCTGGTATCTCCACATCCTGTTCCAGCCACGCATCTCCTCCCTGTGCGCTGGCATCGCCCTGCCAGCCAGGGGTGAGCTCATTGCTCCCTGCCACCTGCATTTGCCACACCTCCTTTTGTCCCCCCGGTGCCCTGGAGCAGGATGTGCACAGGCAGCGATCTCAGATCCCTTCTGGGTGTGAGTCCCCTCCATGCAGGCAGCTGGGATTCCCCCTCCCCCTAGCCCCCCACGATGCCTCATCCCTCCCATCACTCCTGTCCCTGCAGCTCCTCCAGCACCCACCAGAGCACCCAGCCCCTCTCCCAGCACCCTGCCCTCAGCAGCAGGCACACGCAAGGCTGAGGAGAAGCACACGGGGAGCAGGTGAACAGAGGGTTGCACCTGCCCCAGATTTATCCCCCCAGCACCTGCCCAGAGGTCACTGTGGGTTTAATGGCATGGAACTTTTCTTCCCTGAATTCTCCCAGGGGGTTCCTGAGGTGGAGCATCTCCCCGTGCTGGTGGCACCCTGCAGTGAGGGGCTCCACCCCCCTCTGAGCTCCCCTCGCTTGTCACAGGGGGGTCCCCTCGCCGGGGGCTGTGGGAGCAGCTGCTGAGATGGGCTGGCAGGGACCAGCCTGCTGCAGCAGTCATCGGCCCAGACCCCACGGCCCCCCTGGCTGCTGGAGAGAGCAGAGGGCTGCTGGGACAGGGGAGGTGCTAGAGCAGCCTCTGGTGGGTGAGGAGCCACCTGGAGACCCTCAGGCAATGGCTGCGACACTTGCTGACAATGGGAGACTATCCTCTCTGCTCAGCCTCTTCCTGCTGCTCTGGATCTTAAATCTTTGAGTCTCCTTGCTCTCCCAGCTGTGCCTCTCAACCTTCTCCTTCCCTCCCCTGCTTAGGCCATGTCCTTGTTGGGCTGGGTGACCATTCCTGGACCTGGGTGACCATTCCTGGACCTGGGTGACCATTCCTGGACCTGGGTGACCATTCCTGGACCTCCACCCATCCGAGGAGGTGTGGGTACAGCTTAGATTTACAGCTTAGATTTACATGGTGCTTTGTCCTTTCCCCCTGCCTTCTCCTCACCTCTACTCCTGCTGCATCTGCCACCTTTGGCACCTGCCACCTTTGTCCACCTTGGAACATTGCTGAGATACTTTACAAGACTTCTGTCGGCACAAAGATCTCCCTGGGTGATCTTCCTTCCTCTCTTTTTCTCCCTCTCAGCCACTCATTTATCCAAGCGAGGATCTTCCTACCTAGCCTATGGCAGCTTGTCCTCTGCAGGCTTTCAAGAAGACCCTTCTCAGCTGTCTAGGGGATGTTCAACACCCATATCTTGTTGCCTCCTTCAGAAACTGTATTTCTGAGGTGGGATTTCCTTGTGCACAAGTTGGATTCAGTTTCCTCTGTGACATGATCTGTCCATACATCAGGCAGGTCTGCCATTTATTACAACTGGTGTGAGTATCTGCCCACACTGTGTAGTAGATCTGCTTGTCTGTAGCCTCTTTACCTTTGACAGCCTCGTTAAAAGCTGCTATATTTGCTTCTTCTGGTCTTCTAGTGAAAATTAGAGGTAGCAAAAGTGAGTCTGAGCAGCAGGGGACATACTTGAGTTCCAGACCTGATTTACTTTGGCTGGAAATGTCATCTCCTCTGTCTAACTGATCACTCACACTTCTGCATTGGTAGGACAGACCTTTCCAGGTGTTGCAAAAGCTCCTCCTCAGCCAGCGTGGGTGCAGAGTTTCTTTACTGATAGAAATCAGCTCATTTTCTTTGCCAGTTCACTCTGAGTTTGATTGGCTGCCTGTGCAGCATTTTTTAGTATTAAACTCCTGCTCCCAATGCCTTTGAAGAAAGGAATATATAAGTGCAGAGGTCATTCCCCAGAGTAGAGGAGCAAGGGGCCAAACGCTGGTTTTTCTTATTTAGGTTGTTGCCAGTTAACCTGCCAGGGGTCATTTTTCTGCCTTCATGTGGATGCAGCTCCAGCAAGGTTAAGAAAATTTACCTTAGTTCTGATCAGCATCTTTAAACTGATTTAATGCTGCTGGCTTCCATTTGGGCTTTCCCTTTGTAACGTTGTTTAGGGTTTGTATTTGCTAATATCAGCTTAAGTGCTTAGAGTGAAGCTAAGCTGGTCTTTCCAGACAATCTCTGTGCCATATGTGATATTTAATCCTCTTGACTTTCCATTTTTTCCCCTTTTACAAACAAACTGTGACTGTATTGGATCAGCTCTGGTCCCAAGCGCAGGTTTTGTGTTCAGCTCACAAGCCAGGTCCCATTTGCTGCTCAGGACCTGCGGGTTCTTGGCCATCCCAAAAACCTCAGCCCACAAGGGGGTACCCAACCTGCCCGAAGCAAACAGATCAGAGCCTCCTGGATGTCCCTTTGCATGTGGCAGGTGCCAGCACCACTGTCCCCAGCTGGCAGCGTGGTGGCCACAGCAGGAGTCCCCAACAATGCAGCCACGAGGTCTTCTCCATCTGTCTTGGGTGGTGCAGAGTGAGACCAGGGGGTTCCCCAAGTGCCACTGGGCCTGGGAGCTGGTGGGTGCCAGCCCAGCTGGACCCTTCCCCACCCTCCAGCCTCAGGGGCAGCCCCTCACTGGGATCTGGATGATTGGCATCAGCTCTCCACAGCACGGGCATGAATGATCTGAACTGCCATGGGTCAGGAGTGAGTCACCTCTAAACTGCCCATTGCTGCTTGTAGACACCTCTGTGCTGGACGGAGCCCCAAAAAAGGAACAAACACTGCTTTTGATCCCTGGTTTGGGAAGGGACAAACATTGCTCCTGTCCTCAGGCATCCCGGGGGCACAACAAAACCCCTGGAGCCTTTTCAGAAGTTAAGACTTCAGAAGTTCTGCACATTTTGACAACACAACTGGGACCCATGAAAGTGAGGAGAAAATCTCAGTGCTGTGAGGGCCACAGCTTCAAGAGGCATCA